ACTGATGAAGCGCAGCAACTATACCCGGAACACCAATGGTACCTCTCTCTGCTGCACTCACAGGCATAGAATTGTAGCTTTAAATAGATGCTGTAACTCTGTGCTATATTATTGTGACCAACTTTCAATTTCATGCACTCCTGGGCATGGCATTGTAGCTTTAAATAGTGCTTCACTTCCTTATTAAAGACTGTGTTTGGCTTTCCTTCACAGGGAATTAATTTTGCCAAAGGCAGCCCAAAATTTTCATGCCACAGGTCAAAAGAACTTCGTGTGCCTGTTCTCTTCCTGATGTACTCATATCTATGCTAACCAGTCACTCAAAGTCATAATATTGAATATATTCTAGGGAACATCTAGGAATTAGGTTCTTGGACATCTCACACCTTTATATGATACCTGTCTGTGGGAAGTGAGGGTGTGTGGCAGGTATTAGACAGAGGTATCTGAGACTGTGACATAGATTCTCAAGACATACTATCAACTGCTTTTCATCAGATTTAGTAGGAGGGAGAGAGGTGAGCCCAAACAGGGAAGGCTAATTCCTGTCACATGTCTGTCTCTCAGTACCACCAAAGGTGACCGTAATCTCAGAAAAACCTGTGGAACTAGGCGAACCCAACATCCTCATCTGTTTCATCGATAAGTTCTCCCCACCAGTCATCAATGTCACATGGCTTCAGAATGGAAAACCTGTCACCACAGGAGTGTCAGAGACAGTCTTCCTGCCCAGGAAGGACCAACTTTTCCGCAAGTTCCACTACCTCTCCTTCATCCCCTCTACTGAGGATTTCTATGACTGCAAGGTGGATCACTGGGGCTTGGAAGAACCTCTTCTCAAGCACTGGGGTATGACCCATCTTCAATCTACTGACTTTGTGGTTTCCTCCTGCAGTGCATGTCTCAGGTCCTTTGGGGTCCAGAGTCCCCTGACTGTTTCATAACAGACACTCATTCCTTATCTTTTCCCATTACTCAGCTTCTCCCATTTTCTAATCTGTAACTCCCTTAATCCATCATTATGACACCCTCTTCTTTAACTGATTGATAATTATTCTTTTACCTAAGTACACTATATAAGTTCTACTCTCCAACACATGGATTACTGTTTTATTTTTCACCAGAATTTGATCTGCCAACATCTCACCCAGAGACAACAGAGAGTGTGGTGTGTGCATTGGGCCTGTTTGTGGGTCTGGTGGGCATCATCGTCGGAACCATCCTCATAATCAAGGGTGTGCACAGAGGTAATGCTGCTGAACTTTGTGGATGTCTGTGAGGCACCTTCAGATGGACTGGAAGTACTCAAAGGAAGACACATCCCAGGAAAGGAAACAGAGTTGGAACAAAGCCATATGATATTTTTAAGAGAAAAAGAGGACAATCAATTCTTTTGACTTATCTTCATTAGGACAGAATCAGACATTGGCATGATGTGATAACACAAAGCTTTATGGTCCTTCATCCCTTTCCATAAATGTGTACCTAGACCATACCTTGTGTCTTGAAATTATCCCCAGTAACTAAAGCTATTGTTTTACTTTTGAATTCTGAGTCAGTGATCTAAGGAAGTCAGCTTCAAGATTTGAAGACTTGATGGCTTTCATTTCCTGAGGCACACCTTTAGTTCAAAAGTTCTCAGAACTTGGCTATTTTTGGGGGGTTAGTATATATTTACTACATGAAATGGAAATCTCTTGGAGGCAACCACTGTTTATGCATCCTTCACCTGAAAAGTGGCATCAGAAGTTCTAAGAGAAGGTAAAACATCATTTTCTCATTCATGCTCACTTGGAGAGCAAGGCATAGTAGTGCATGTTCAGATGTATTTACTAGAGGCCTGATGAATAATAAGAGATTTTTCCAAAGTCAGAGGATTAACAGAGAAGAAAAAGGAATCTGAAAAAATATATTTTCAATGTAAACTCTTTGATGAATGTGTGTGTCCTCCATAGGTACTGGATTTCTAGAAAGAAGATAGGTGAAGAAAACTCTACTTTCAGAACTCTATCAACCCAGCAATACTGCAATTTTTCACATCCGTGAAGAGCAATTCTTCATCATTTTCCAGACCTATAGCTCCTTTAAGACTGGTGATGTCTTCCTGATCTCTCCGAAGTCTAACATATATTTATTGCCTTGTCTATTCCCCATCGTGTATATTTTCCCTCAATTTCCTATTATGTTATTATTACCATTAAAATAGACTCATAAGATCACTTCTCTGCTATGGAAACTTTTGAATGTTCCATGGTGACATCATTTATATATTTACGGCTTTAGTTTTTTGGTTTTTTTTTTTTTAATAGATTTGTGATTTTTCTGAATATAATAAACACACGACTTATGTTTCTGAATATAATAAACACATGACTTATGTTTACTTCTATGAGTTTTATAGCTTCATTGCTTATGTCCAATTCATTAATGTAGTTTTGAATTACTGTGTATGTGTGGTGTTAGGTAGCATATTAGTTTTATTCTTTTGCAAGTGCTGTCCAGTTTTCTGAACATCAATCACAGAATAAATAGACTTTCTTTTCTCCGTTGGATGTTCTTGGCCCCTTTGTTATTTGTATGTGTTTATTCTGGGATCCAAATTATGTTCCATTGTTCTATTGTTTGTTTTTATTCCAATAATATGCTTTCTTGGTTACTATCAATTTGTAGTGTAGTTTGAAGTCAGGGAGCATGATACCTCCATTTCTGTTCTTTTATTCCTTGGGACTGCTTATA